AAAAAAAAAAAAAAAAAAAAGAAACCGAAGCCTTCAGCCGGCAAACTCCCAAGTTGTTGAGGGCTTAGGGTTTAAGGCTTTGGGTTTAGGGCGCCTCCGCTCTGTAATGCTTACACCCCAAACTTCGAGACACAACCGAGGCTGCCACAAGAGAGCTGAAGCTTTGACATCTCTTCTTGTCGGTTCGCCCCTGTGGAGTGGGGCTCGCATTCGTCGGATTGGGAGCGGTACACGTCTTACACGTCAACACTTGAAGCAGCAGTATCCCCAACAGGGAGGTGGGTTTCAATAGTTTATCGGCCTGTGCTTATTTGATCCTCAAGTAGTGAGTTTTTAGGTGAGCGATGCTCGAGCATAGTGTGTGTGGAGGGATCTGGCATATGTGAACGCGTGGAATTGATTTCGGGGGTCTTAAAGGTAGGGCTTCCAGTCGTTTGGCCATGGACTGCCTTGCCAGTTCTGATCAACGTTACGAAAGCTAGGTTCCCAGAACCTCGTAGCAGTGTAAGTCCTGGACTTAAAGGGGAGAATCCAAAATAGAAAGGGTAAACAGGTACTACTGAGGGCCTCGGAACAACCTTTTAAACTAAACCCTACCGCGAAGTCGCCTACCTCCTCAACCCAACCTGAAGCCCTTAAAGAAACCCTTCTAGGAAGTCGAAAACCCCCTTCAATCCACGAAGCAATATCTCGTCCTGGCCCAAACATGCAGTTCCCTCTCAGGAAATGACTGAAAGGTAGTTTTGAAGAAGGGACTCCCCAAAAGGACGAAAATGGGGGTCTGAGCCTTAAGCTCCGTTCCCTGTACTAAGCCCCAGAGTCTGGGGTTTAGTATAGGGATTGGGGCTTAAGGCTGCGTCAAACCACAAACTCTGAACCATCGTAAACCCAAAACCGCATACACGTCACTATCATACCAACGTCTAGACCATATACTTATACTAAAACCTTCACCTTGAAGTGTACAACCTAGCCCCTGGGTTGTTCAAGACCCCTGCGGAAACTAGGCGCTTAAACCCTAAACTCAAATCCCTGATCCCTAAACCCGATGCTATACATTTAAAACTATTACACTACAACATTTTATGTTGTAGTATATGATATGAACCTGCATTAACAACAAACAAACAGATTCAAGCCCACCTTCTCCCCGAAGGCCGTCGAGAGACCGCAGGCACTTCTCGTGCTCCGCCTTTTGCCAGGGTTTACAGTGCTCGCCGTGTCGGGCTTAAGGGTTTCGGGTTCGGGCGTTTAGGGTTAGCACTGGTCCAGCTGGTCCGGAAGAATTCGGAGCGGGAACACGGGGTCCCGCAACTTGGAACACCAAAGGGGTTTTGGGGGTAGATTCATTCTCATCGCGTCCCCTTGCATTAAACACCCCTTAATATTAAAAACCCATTGGGTTGGCAGAGCCAGAGCAGGAGTTAGAGCAAGCGGAAACAAAGATTGGCTTCACTAGCCATTGCTGTCCTGGACTGTGCTTGTGTTCTCTGTTTGACTTAACGACGGTAAACCATCATCCCTTCAGCAGAACCAAAACTTTTGAATTAAGCACGTACGTTGGGAATTTGACATAGGTTCTGCACACTCACTAGATGTTTACGCGCTTGACGCAAAAGCATTGATCTCGCTGCGTCCGGCCATGCCCTGGGGCTTCATCGAAGCTCATGTCACACGGGCACTCATTTTGCAAAAACGACTGTAACTAGGTGGAAGCCAAAGTCGCTTGTTTCCGCAACGTCCTTTCTCGCCGCACTCCTCTTGCCCGCAACTCTCTTCAAAAGAAGGGAAGAAAGCTTAATGGTCTCTCACAAGAGGCAACGATGAACCCCTCGCTCAATAGGTCCTAGGTTCACTTGAGCAAATATTATATAGTGAATCGAATGCACAAATCATTGCGTTTCTTTTCGCGCAAGCGCCAGTGAGAGGCTGCCGCAGTTTTGATGGCCTAAACTTTCGGCAAGGCCCGTGACTGCTAGCTGCTAAACGACCGCTATTCTTCGGTGCAGTCGAAGGCCTGAGAGGCGCGCTAGTCTTTGGTCTTTGGTGCAGTCGCCGGCCTAGAAAGCTTGCCGGCCGCTCAACGGCCACTATTCTTCGGTACAGTCGTAGCCTGCTGCTGGCCGACGTATATTTATTTGTCCTCCTGCCTTTCCTGCGGCGCACCATCTCTCCTCGCGTCTGTCCCCGCCGAAACACCTTCGATTTTTCCAGAGCACCCGCAGTTCTATCGCCTGCACACACTATGGTAGCTCATTTGTCGGCAACATGATATCCAGAATCTTCGCACATCACGGTTGTCACTCTGCAGCTCCCATCTCGCCGATAGGTGCAATTATACTAAGGTTTGCCGAGCATCGCAACGAGCACCTGAATCATCAGGACATCCGTGCGTGATAATCTCTTCCTGCAGCCTGGCACATGCACACTCGAAGGCAAGATTGGCGCAGTGATCTGCCAGAACTGAAGCTATGAACTTTCAAGCCAAAACGCACTCACACATCGATCGTGCTCGGTCTTCTGGCAGCGAAGTCGGAACAAACACCTGCCGGACAAGTTCCTGTGCCCATGCTGCCTTCACCGCGGCCGTCAGAAGAGAAGACAACGCTCCCGGAACCATCACTGAGCCTTTCACTGAGAGTTGTGAAGAATCAGCCGAAATCAGTTCAACGCTCAAGCTGAGGCATCCTCACACGCACATGAACGCCAAGATTTTGCGCCGGGCCATCACTACCGATATCGGAAAAGGCCTCGAGCAAGGAGTCGAAAACACAGGATTACAGAAAAAACCCAAGAAGATGACGCGGCGCTGGCAAGTGAAAGCTACAGAGGTGTGGGCATCGCATGGCCGCAGCTGCAGGTCGCCGTTTCGCGGCTCTGTGCAAGCGCACGCCTGAAGCCTGAAGTATACGGAACAGATTACAGGGTGTACGCCTCTTCACATGGCTCTCCGGCCTCTATAGTAGATGTCGGAAAACATGAAGGGACGCTTTCTCGTCGGCTCCCACTCTTTGACATCGCTTGCAATGGAAGCGCAGCTTTGGCCACAAGACCGTCTCCGGAACAATCAACCAGCAGACCAGTCCACGCACGCCACTCTTGCGCGCTGCAAAAAAGATTGGCCCAGTCTTGTTGAAAGAACTTGACCGAGCGTTGTCTGACGACTGGTTGGGAAATATAGAGCTGTGTTGCGCTGGAGCCGCTTCGCTACTAGCAGGATTGACAGCTTGAGCTTGAGCGTGCTTGTGTGCTGCGCTTGAACTCTGCGCGTAAAGCCTCATTGGTGCCTGACGGTAACACGGCCACTTTTCGATCATCCAGCTCAGCTCCCAGTGGACGGTTGTCGAACAACCACTCGAGCCGCTCAGCACAAGTTGCAGAGTGCAAGTGGTAGTACAATCAAGTGCCGTTCCTCTCACTTGTCCGAACGCCTTCTGCGCGGCACGAAGAAGAAAATTGCAGCCATAGCTTCGATGAACTGCAGCCAAACACGCTCGTCGTTCATTGCCGCTAGGACCGAACGGGCCCTGAGCTCAGGCATATCGCCGTTCAAGACTTGTTGCTGGAGTTTCGCTTCCTGGGAAGTCAATGCTGGCGGTGTTCCTCCGATGAAATCTGGGCCAAATGACGTAGCAGGGCAACTTGCATCTCGGTTGTTGAATATGCACAGGCATGCTCGCAAGGCTGCCGAACCTGGTGCGCGGTATCGACCAGTCACATGCTCATACTTCTTGGCCAAATGCAACACGTCAAGAGTAATTGTCCCAAAGTTTGACGTGATTTCTCGTAGCTTGTCGAAAAGATTGTTGGAAGGCGCATCTGACGCAACGCGCGCAACCTGCATCAGTGCTTTTCTGGGGAGATGCTCCTAAAGACAGCTCACCATACGTTCAGCTTGTTCCGAAGGAGAAGGCATATAAGGGCTACCAATGCACGCTTATTTTCCTATCACAGTGAGAGATTGTGTCCTCCTTTTCGAAGCAATCAGCCCCAGGACCTTTGCTTTCCTGAACAATGTTTTGTTTTGGCCCACGATTGGAAGAACACATGTCACGGTGCCGTCGAGCGAAAGACATCCAAACTCATCGCGCTGCACGCATTTATCCAGGAGGCTGGCCTTGTGAGTTTCATAAGAGGCGCGGAGGATAGCATGTCTTCCACCATCGGCCACCAGCTGGCACTCTGCAGCTGCAGTTGTTGCTACACTACCACAGACTGAACGACTCCCCAAGTGATTGCTGTAAACGCAGCTTCGGCAGTCAACCTCAACAGTCCCGAATCAAGTCCAACAGAGACTGGTGGTTATCATCGTACTTGAAGCTATCATGTCACAATTACGTCCGCCCTCGCTCCAGGTCAACGAAGATCTTGGCTGATCGTGGGTGCACAAGGTTGCACCGCTAGCTCCCGATGTGATGCTGTCCACTGGAGGAGCACGAAGGAAAGCTGTTACACTTATTGTGATGGTCACGCTCGGAGGCTGCTGCTGCATGCCTGGGGTAGTCGGCTAGTCACGCTTCAACTGCGTCAATTGCCACCTGCATGTGTTGTGCCACTGGCGATTTTATGACAGCTGTTATCAACCCTGCTTTCGCGCAGTGACGTGCAGATGCCACGAGAGCGAGTTTACTGATTTAGGGCTACGTTTACCGACGTTTGCAGCTCAAGGCTTGCACTGTCGAAAGTTTGTTCGTCGCAACACGCTGCAATCCACATCTGGGTCTATCTCTCGAAGCATAATGTTACAGTTATATCTCTCAAATCATAATTTTAAATATTTATCGAAAAAACCTTTGCGGTGCCACAAAGAGTCTGGGCAGCTACCCCATGCTACAGTAGAGCTGAGTTGATTCTGCCTGAAGCGGGCGGCCGGCTCTGCTTGGGCGGCTGGCTCGCCTGAGCACAGCCGGCTCACCTGTTTGGGCGGCCGGCTCGGCTGTCTGGGCGGCTGAATGAGGGCGGCGACAGGTTTTTGAGTAAGTGCGGCCGTCTCGCCTATTTTGGCGGCCGGCACGCCAGAGGCGGCCGGCTCCTTGCTGTTGGGGGGGGGGGG